TTTTTTATATTTAAAGAGTTTTTATATTTTATATATTTAAAGCAAGTTTTTTGGGCAGTGTAGAGTAGCACTTGTTATTTGTCATTTCTCCGATCACAAATGCAGACATGGTTTTATGTTTACGCGGATGGATGCAACGCGTAAAAAGACAGTATAAGTCATTATAATCTGTAATTATGTCCCCACTGGATGCAACAAATGCCTCATTTATAATGGGATTTAATGTTTTTGTCTTGTCGCTCCGGCCGGGACACTGCACATAATGTACAGTATGTGGAAAATAATGTGTTTTTTGAACCTTAAACCGCATAAACACATTTCATTACACCAAATACACAAAATAATGTTATTTTTAGCAACATCATATGACCCCTTTAAAAAAAAGAAGAAAAAGCTTGTAAATGTGTTTTTGTGGAGTATAATATTTGATACAACAGACTTTCATGGCTCATACAGTCAAGTCAAGTCAAGTCACCTTTATTTGTATAGCGCTTTATACAATACTGGTTGTGTCAAAGCAGCTTTACAGTGTTAAACAGGAAAATAGTTTGTCAATAATGCAAGACAATAACAGAGTCATTTTTCCAGTTAAAGTCAGTTCATTACAGTATGATGTAGGAGAATATGTAGCTCATACTCAAGGAGGAAGCCCAAACTGAGCAAAAAAAAGCAATTCGGTGCAGTTGCAGATATTTATATGGCTGGAAAGTAAGGTGAAATTCTGATAGCATGTATTGTAAATCAATGAGATCCTCATAACAGTATAGCAGACTACTTACAGTGCATATAAATATCACTTGTCACTCTATATCTCCCAAGAATTATGCTTTTTTTTGTTGAATATCATATTTGATACATCAGGTTTTATGGGTCATATAGTGTGATACAGTGAGAATATGGAGGAAAAAAAATATCTCAGGCCACAAATATGGTGGAATTTGGTGCAGAGGCTGATATTTATATGATCAAAAAGCAAGATGAAATTCTGATGCTTGGAATCTAAATCAATGATATCTTTATTAAAGCAAAGCAGATACTTACATACAATAATAAAAATATCAGTTGTCACTCTATATCTCCAATAACATGAGTTATTAAGATGATATTTAAATGGGTGGGGGGGGGTGCAAAACATATAATGCAATGAAATACAATGATAATTGAGAGATGTACAAATAAACATTCCTCAATAGCCTGATGCATCTTATTTGATACTCACTTTTTAACATGAATTTTGTGAAGTGATGTGTGGATAATCAAGTACACCTAAGTTGATTCAGACCAGTAAGTGTTCATCTTGAAATATAACCTTACTATATAACCTTAATATAACAATAAAGGTTATTCTTACGTTTACTTTAAAAGCCAGTACAATTTTCACAGCAGAAAATACATGTGTACCACAACCTAGTGGACAGTTTTACCATTATAATAAAAGGCCTTTTACTTGCTAAAAAAAAAGTCTAAACCACTGTATCAGTCAGATGACAGAATGTAGAATATTGTGTACAACAAGTTTTTGATCATGTTAATAATTTAGAGGCCTTAAAAACTTGTGTATCAAATATGATACAGTAGGTTTTATAGGGTTAAGTATGTACTTATGCAGTAGATGCGTTACAAGAATTCAAGCCTGAAATAATGTAAATCTGGAAAAACCCGGTAGCACAAACCTTACAAAAGTTACTTTTACGTAATGAATCCACTTATGATTCCAAGCATTAGCATAAATGCACAATGCATCTGTTTATATGAGCAGAGCCAGCTGTGATGAGACATTTTGAACAGGGTTATGATGAAATGGTTGGTTCTTATTTCATACGCCTGAGAGTTCTTTTCCAAGAAACCTCTAATTTTTGTCATTTACATAAGCTCTGTTCCAAACCCTAGCGAGCTGTCTTGCTGTTTACTACTTACACAGAGAGCTGCCTTCTACAGCAGAATAGGCATAAAAATACAAAAATGTTTAAGAACTTTATTATACAGTTTAAAAGTTTGGGGTCGATAAGATTTTTTAAAATGTTTTTATAGAAGTCTTTCATGCTCACCAAGGTTGCATTTATTTATGCATTAATTATTTAGCAAAAATGCAGTACAAACAGTAATATTGTGACATTATTACAAATTTAAAATAGCTGTTTATTAATATATTGTAAAAATGTAATGGCAAATGATGGCAAAGCTGAATTTTCAGCAGCCATTACTTCAGTATTCAATGTCACATAATCCTTCAGAAATCATTCTAATATGCTGATTTGGGGCTCAACAAATATTTCAACATTCAAAAAACAGCATTTATTTGAAATAGAAATCTTTACTAACTTTATAAATCTCTTTACTGTCTCTTTTTATCCTTCTTTTCTGAATAAAAGTATAAATGTCTTTTAAAAAAATAAATAAATCATACTGACCCCAAACTTTTGAACAGTAGCACACATAAATACTGGGTAAAATAATATTTTTTATATATATTATACTGTTTACATATCACACAAAGTATTATTATCAATACTTTTTAAAATTAAATGAAATATGTTTATTTATAATCATTTCTTTCATCTTGTCCACCATCTTTGCTGGACTGTTGTATTTTTTATCACATTCACGTCACATTCTGGGATTGCCTTGTCTTTGAATACTTGTGATGCACACATGTGAATTTGGCCAAAAGTAGGTATCTTAAAAGACAGCATAATTAAACTGCCTACATTCTGCACCTCACCTATGATAACTTAAAATGACTAAAAATACTATACTGCCCTAGTATCAATGAGCGAGTCACAAGGAAGTAGAGACATAGTGGAAATCTCAGGGAAATCTCCATTGAGACAAGATGGCTGTTCCTCAGCCAGGGTCTGTGAGAGGAAAAGACTGACTTTAGCAATATTACCCCCATTAGAACAAATGGGACATAGATTAGAGGCGCCACACTTTCAGTACTATTTTCCTGCAGTGTTTTAGTGGAGGTTTACTTGATGACTTATTTAATGGTCTATTTGGCACATTGCTTTATTGCTTCTATTCATCATGAGGTTTGTTTTTCCAAACATTGCATAAATCAATTTGGTAAGGATCTCTTTTGTGGTGCAGACATGGTGGCCAACTACATTATCACGCAAAACATCCATTCTGTGTGCCATCTAATTGCCGAAGGCAAAGTTAAAGTCTGTCAAAGATGTGGTTCACAGGCTTTCCCGTGGGCTTTCTGTATCAACAAACTCCACATTCCCATTACTGATGAGATTTGGGCCTGAGCTCCAGTGAGTTGGTTATGAAACCACTCTAAAGAGACACTAAAACAACACAACGCCATTCATGTGCCAAGTCAGCACATACCACACGCTCACAACAGTCTCGTATGCATGATGCAACTGAAGAAATGTGTGAGTTTTTAATGAGAGAGGGTGGAAAAAAGGTCTTCCTCAAAGCGTTCCCAAGTTTCAGTCAGAAAAAGGAGCAGAAAAAGGGTGCCTGGAGATATGGTAACAAATTAATTCTAGTGTTTTTCTTTTTTCTGTGTCAGAGAGAACGGCAATATATGATTCTTTTTGAAATGCCCATCACACTTTCCTCATCCTCTCAGTGCTAATAAAGTAGTCATGCAGTCAATTTCTCCAAATCAGCCAAGCAATACAGACATTTCTGTTGCTGTGGATTTATCATTCGTACAGATCCAGAGCTTCTTTGGAATAGTGGCTGTCTGATCTTAGCCTGTCTGCATTTCAGCAGGTGTGTTAGATGTCATTTGACATTTCAGAACAAAAAGCTGTAAAGGAAAGCTCCTTATTGATGGTAATTAATATAGATCTCAATTGTCCTCTCGTTCACATTCGTTTTATTGTAGAGTTGGCTTGTCCAATATGCCAATATTGTTTGAGTGACACCACAGTGCTGAATCGAAGAGGTCTGTTTTATGGGTGACGTTCAAACACTAGCACTAGTTTTAAATTTCCCCTAGACACTGATAAAGCTGACTCGGCTCACAATAAAAGCGCCATACAAGCTGTCAGCTCCGGCAGGGAGAGCCGTGATTGGAGCGTGCTGTCCAAGCTGTAGTTTATGAGCACCGGGATGAGAATATTGATCAATACTTCTGCAAGACTTGCTTTGCACATGGCACTTTTTCTCCCATCAGTCAATCACGGGCTTTTTTCAAAATGCTTTCCTTCTCTCACTCTACTCTCCGCCTTATTTCTGCTCATATTGCACAAACACACACACAGGCTCAGTGCTATAGGTTTGATTCATACAATTCGATGATATACAGTGATTCTTTCTGATACTGGATTACCAATATTGGATATTTAATTGTACATGCACATTTCCCCTAATTTAGATTACATTTTAATGTTGTGGTGCCTGAATTCACTTGTAGCATATTTTCATTTTTAATGTTTTGTTTTTAATTAATTTAGACAAAATAGTTCAATCCAATTTTAATACCTGCCTTTTATTCGTTAGCGGCCATAACATTATCAGTAGATAAAATAATTATCAATAATAATTAGCACTAAATCGATGATGTCATGTAAGACAGTTTGTAGTAGGATGAAACAATGGCGCTAATAGAAACAATGTTATTTTGGACAGTCTAGGCATATTGTGAATAGTATAAAAAAAGAAAAAGAAAATTAACTAATAGATATCACCATACTACCCCAGCTGATTGATTATTTTAAGAATTGCAAACTTTTTTTCTGTTACAAGTTTTTCTGAAATGTTATATTTAAATATGCAAATTATATATTATCTAATTAAATATACACTCATTTGCATACATTTTCAGAACAGAAATCTGAACGCTGAGTTAAGCCAGAAAAAATAGCCAGTCAACATCTAGAAAAAATGCTTTTTCACAATTTTTTGGGAATAAAATGCTGTACAAAATCAGGCAAATTATATATAAATGAACCCCTCTGTAAAAACCTTCAGAATATGTATAGAAATAAAACTGTAAACTTTTCGTGTATATACAGTAAGTGCTACTGAAGTGGAGATTTCTGACTCCACTGCAGAAGAAAAAAATTATTTTGAGAAAAAGGCCTTTAAATATATACATTGTAAATTAAATGGATAAAGTGCGATAAAAACAACACTTAAAAGTGTATTTTTTATATATTTTCTTTCCACTAGTTTGAAACAGCACTTTATGAAAAGCCAGATAGCCCAAATTCTCAATATTGACCAATGAATGAAAAAAACCTGTTGTGCCTGAAGAGTCTTTCCTTAAGTTTGCCTTTTTTGGGTCATTGTGTTTCATAATGTTTCAATCTAGGCAAGACTTTTTCCAATTTTTCCATAGATACCATGTTGGCATGTCATTCATTTGACAGCACTAAATCTGGAAGGAGCAGGTGGTCAGGGAAGAGTTTGGGTTCAGGCCAGCTTGGTCCTGACTGGAGTCTGAACTGATGTTCTTTCCAAGTCAGTATGTCGTGGCTAAAGCGCCCAAGCTAATTAACATGACAGTCTCATAAGCAGGAAGACCATGTGGCAAGACTCCCAGATTATCTTCATCCATTCCAATCTTTACTGTATGAGTGAAGAAATATCTGTTGCTATATTGCTGTTCATATGAAGAAAAATTAAGACGTAATTTGAACATTACAAACTATATTAGCATTTTCAGTGCTGATTTTATGGCAAAATCTGCAGTATTCTGTGGCATATTATTGTTATATTGACCTTAAACCAAACTCAAACTCGAGTCACCTGAAGGCAGTGAGTTAAATGAATCTGAGAGTACTCTTATAGGTAGAAAACATAAACAAATTAGCAAAAATATTTCCTAAATAAACATAAAATGGTGGGCGATGTGTAGATGTGTAAGCATTGATTCTGAAATCTGCTAAACGTTCTATGCAGTGCTGCACACAGACGTTCTCATGGGACTGCTTCTCATCATGAAAGGAACATGTTTACGTGAGCTGTGTACATCTACTATCTAATGCATGTTTCACAGTATGCTGTGCTACAGTATGCCCTAATATTACTCATTTTTAGACAACTTCAAACTGTCTCAGTTCAGACTTGATGTACTGTATCATACTGATTTAGTGACCATTTCACTGTGCTTTTAAAAGGTTTCAGACCCTGTTCATTTGGTCCCGCTATTGCTATGGTAACAGTTAATGTGTTCCAAAGTGTCTCCTCTCCCCGTTATGCTGGCCTCATCAACACAAGAGAGGTGTTAAGGCCTAATTGGTTTGGCACCTCAAGTGGGGCTGATTTCAAAGGCAGAAAAACCTTTTCCCTCATTAATAGGATCTGTCATTGCATAAAAGAAAGGAAGGAAGGGTGGAAATCATGTTAATCACTCTCCATTTGTGTTATTTTTTTTTAAAACAATATCCTTACAGTATGTACTCATTATTCACAATGGCGATACCATGGTACAGTCATGTTATCAGATGGTAATACTATGGTACAATTCCAGAAAACCGTGGTAATACTTTCAGGACTTTTTTATGTGTCATCTGCCCTAACGAACACCTTTTTGATGTGTAAAAACTCAAAGTAGTTTGCAAAGAAGTGTAAACGTCCATTATAATCTTTGTAATAACTTGAGCTCTCAATCTGAGATGAGGTTTCAGGTGCCTGGAAGAGTAAAACATCGTTGAAACTATCTGCAAATTATGCATTGTGCCTCTCTGTCTCTGTCAGGAGCTGTGGAGGTGAGAAAAGAAGGACTTGAGGCACAGATCAGTCGACTGGCTGAGCTGATTGGACGTCTGGAGAATAAGGTAAGAGGTTCGTCTTATAATACTGAGAGGTCAAGTGCTTCCTCCTGGGAAGAGTCTTATAATAGCAAGAGGTAAAAATCCACAGACCCGTGCAGATGCAATCTAGTGTATTAAGACACTGAAAATAAAAACATGGTTGATAACAAATGGAAAGATATAGCTTAGTTTCCGGTTTTACGGCAACTGATAACATAATAATACATAGATTTCAAGGGTGTTTTGTATGAGCAGGTATTTCATATTTATTTGTTTCAAATAAAAATGAAATACCATAGAAGTAACTGTACAAAAGTGTATATGTTTTAGAGGGTGGCAGGTGTTGACTGTGAGGGCTGTTATGATGTTATACTGGTCTGTAAATTGGCCTTACTTGTTACTGCATTATTGTAGTTATTATTTTTGAAAAATGCATAAACCTGATAAGACTTTGATATGACTTGATTTGATTAAATAGTATGTCATTATAAACAAATATTATAGTAGTGGTTGTTTGATGACAGTCTCAAGTATATACTACCATTCAAAAGTTTAGAGTAAGTTAATAAATGCTGTTCTTTTGAACTTTCTATTCATCAAGAAATCCTTAAAAATTGCATCATGGTTATCACAAAAATATTAAGCAGCAGAAGTGTGGACACCGATAGTCATGTGACACTGAAGACTTGAATAATGGATGCTGAAAATTCTGCTTTGCCATCACAGGAATAAATTATGTTTATAATTATAATATATATAAATAGAAAACAATTATTTTAAATTGAAATCATGTTTCCCAATATTACTATTTTTTACTGTATTTTTAATCAAATAAATGCTGCTTTGGTGAGTTTTCTTTTAAAAACATTTGAAAAAAAAACTTACCAACCACAAACTTTTGAACAGTAGTATAAAGGTGACCTGTAAATATCAAATAGAGTTGGGACATCAATTTTTATTAGTCTAAAAACTTGGTTTCCTCATTTCAGAAATCCATAAGATGATTAGGAAGTAAAGGCCATGACACACCAAAACGACAACAAAGAAAGCTAACTGTGTTGTTGTCTCACATCGCGTAAACACATTGCGATGACTACAGCCAATGGGCAACTAACACCTACGTTCTGTGGCTGTGTGAGAGGAAATAACTGTTTGTATCTGTAAAATTAGAACAGCATTCATTTGATTGATCAGATTGATCTGTCCGCTTGTTGACCATCAGCTTGGTGTGTCACGGCCTTAAGACTTTGTTGTGGAAAGAGCTTTTCTGTTCCTCTTCCTATACCTAAAATACAGCTCTGTCATTTCTTTTACTGCTACACATATAGTACATCCACATATGCACACACATGCACATGCTGATAATTACACACATTCATTTGTAAAGCCCTGAGAGGAGATTCAAATTGCATTTAGCAAAGCCTGTAATCTTTTCTTCCTATAGTTATTACTTTCACTGATCAGGAGAGCAGTGAAGGAGGGCAGGAATGATACGGTGAAACAAAGAAAGAAATTAAACAGACCTGTCAACCACAGAACTGCACTAGTAGATGACTGTTTTTACCATTATATTCTCTGCACTCAACATTTATGTAACTTTTCTTTCTTGGTTAACCATTATTTCAACATCTCTCTCTTCCTCTTGGTCATTTTATTATGTGTGTCTGATAGACATTTGAGCACAGTGGACTAATAGAGTCCCCAGTTAAGTTTTTGGAAGACCGGTTCTTATAGCTGGAGCTAAGAATAACCAAACCAACCCAACTGGTTTATTCCTCTCTCAGTGGAAGGGAGGTACTTCTGACACATCCTGGTGAGATGGGATGAAAGAGAGCATGTCTGGGTTGAGCAGCAGAGGCTTCTGTGGCACTGGATGATTTTTTGGTTTCGGTCCAGAGACAGATTAACAAGCATACATGCATATACAATCAATTCTGTAATGCAGGAAGAGAACATTTTTGAAGAGCTTCATTTTAAATTAATTAGCTTAAAAATTATAATTTTGTGAAATGCACTACTGTTCAAAAGTTGTGGTCAGTAAGATTTTTTGTAAAGAAAATTGTTTATTCGACAAGGAGGCTATAAATTGATCAGAAGTGACAGTAAAAACATCTATAATGTTACAAAGGATTTCTATTTCAAATAAATGCTGTTCTCTTGAACTTTCTATTCATCAAAGAATCCTGAAAAAATTTATCAGAGTTTCCACAAAATTATTTAGCAGCACAACTGTTTTCAACATTAATAATAATTAGAAATGTTTCTTGGTCAGTAAATCAGCATATTAGATTGATTTCTGAAGGATCAGGTGACATTGAAGACCAGAGTAATGACTGCTGAAAATTCAGCTTTGCCATCACAGGAATAATTAAAAATCTATTAAAATAGAAAACCGTTATTTTAAATTGTAATAATATATCACATTGTTACAGTTTTTACTGTATTTTTGGTTAAATAAATGCAGCCTTGGTGAGCATAAGTTCTCTTTCATATTTATTATGAATTATTATTCTTTATTTATTATTAATTTATTATTCTCTTTCAATAGTAATATTAACTCATTCTGAGTTTGAATTTTGTTTGAATAGAAATAATGGAGTGTGTTTTGATCGTTGGCTTGCCTTCAAAGTTCTTAAATCAGTGACAATTTTTTCCAGTTGCCTTGTCGAACTCTCTGTTCTTCTGCTCAGTCCACTGTGAGATCTGCTATTGTTGATCAATACAACCAGACCTGCAGCACAGCTAGGTCTGTGCAGGACTTAAAGGCATCACCCTGCTTCATTCTACTACGTTAATAAATCATTAGCTCATCCATGAACATGATTTGTGCCCGAGTCCCCGTCGGATTGCTTCGGCTGTGGGGATGAAGACCACAACTCCCATGATTCCACACTCAGTCACGGCGTCATCAAACTACGCCTTTGGCTCTTTGTTTATTTAGAATTTTTTAATTTTGAAAATTACATATTGTGCCTTTAATACATGCTTTTCTAAACATCCATACTCAGTGCGTTCAGTTTAATTGAAATGTCAAACATAGCACTGTACGTCTGTCCTGTCCTGTTCCCTATTCTCACTGTCGCTTTAGCAGACAGGGCAGCCTGACTTTGGTGACCCGCTTTGGCTCACAGCTGGATCAGTCATCAGAACGCTCTTGTTGTCTGCATAATGCGCCCCCACAGCTTTAGGAAACGCATCATTTCCTTTTCCATCCGGTTGTGGCACCCTGATAGCCTCCAATCACTGTGGAGACTAACGCTCAAGCCGTTCCTGCAGTATTCATACTCGACAGTGTGGCGGTTGTCATTCTTGCTATTATTTTTGATGGATAACCCGCCCATCACTTTTCACAGTGAGAGAGACAGCTGCACGAATTTGTGGCATCATTACCGGCCATTATGTACTCTGTCATTTCGTGATGGGAAAGAATATTCCACACTATCCCTGTTCAGTTATGGGTGGACTGACAGGAGATACCAGCGCCTCTCTTTTTATGAGGCACATAATGATTCATACATTGTGATGGTGTTAACTTTTCAGAGTCAGGGATGCTGTAAATTCCTCATGAATTCATAAAGTATTGGAATATAGTGAGAATATTTGAAATATATACTGTTCTTGTTCTCAGCATTTTTTATTATCTGCATACATCATTACATCCCAGTGACAGTGCTTGTAGCCTCTACATGAAGGAAGGGAAATAATACTTGCAGGCTTTCTTTCACTGCTCAGATTCTTCATACTTGAAAACATGTCCTGGAACTTTACCCTTCATTATATGTTAAAAGAGCAACATTTCTAGTTTGAAATTAATCAGAGTTGAGAATAAACTAGTATGTCCTTAACCATTCCAAATGTACCATTTCATGTGAAATTCTCTGTATTTAATCAAAATCATGACATTTTTATCACTTTCTACTTATATAAACACCTGCCACAGACTCTTGTGTTTCATCTAGAAACTTATTCAAAATAGAAATTTACATATGTTTTTTTAAAGAAAATTATGTACCTCTTAATATACCTCTTTTTTAAGTTTCACAGCTGTGTCGCTGTGAACAATCAGATATTTATGAAAACATTTGAAAAATCAGGCAAAATCAAAGTCAGTTGCCATCCTGAAGGTTTCTATATTTCATCTGCTATGAGTTCCATCGCATCACACAGATGAGTTCTGTATTTGTTTTTTGTACTTTATAAGTAATTAATTATGCTTAATTTTCTGTGATTTGTCAACTCGATCACACAAATTGTGAAGAAATTTGAGATTTTATGTCCTATTAATAGCTAGAAACACCTGAATACCTAAATGGCTTCTGTATGATTTTCTGATTGTGGTGACGAACATTCTTTAATTAATTGACGTGAATACAGAATTTGAATACAAATATAATAAATATTTGATATTATTTTAACTCTTTCGTTCCTGACCCACATTGAATGATGGGCAATTACACACAATTATGAAAACATGAACTTCTTAAACATATTAATTCAAAATGACTACTTGATACATAAACAGTTTTTATTAAAATTGTTTTAGTTTCTTCCTTCTTTTCTTTCTTTTTTTTTTTATTGTGAAGTCAGACAGATGTGTTTAAGCGATTCATCTTTCATGAGCTCACCTGACTGAGTGTTCGCAGACAGACAGCAGCAGTGAAGGGCAGCTGAGGGGGTCAGTGAATTCACTAGTGGCTTTTCTGTTCTGGTTTTTGTTACAGACAGTTTGGTTTGACCTACATCAGCGACTAACAGACACTGATGGCACAACTAGCGCAGTAAGTACTAAAGCACGACTTATATACCAAAGAGCATGAAAAAAAATGCATAAAAGGAAAAATGCATGACCAATTTCACCTTTTCCCTCCATGTTAAAACACAAAAACAGCATTATTACTTAAAAGCAGTGAATAAACCCCCGTCAAATCAAGATTGACTCCTCGTGGGTCTCTTCAGAGCTCCTCATGCTGTTCCACACACCTGCAGCAAATCTGCCACCTGTTCCTCAGGATTCAGCCACATTTCTTTCTCAATATGAAAGCACCAGCTCCGTGTTTAATACCAGCATGCTCCGGGAGTCATTTGTGCCTCTAAAAGATAAGAGACTCGGTGTCACACTACACCTCGCCAGGCCACAAATCAGTCCCGCTCTGTGGACCATTGATACACACAGCAGCACATGATGGGAATGCACAGAAATATCATACGGTTTTGTTCAGTTAAAGTATGGGAGTGCTGGGATTTAATCTCTTGTAGACCTTTGTGATTTAAAAGTTTTAGATCTAATAAAGAAAAGATTGCTTTGTTTAAAAATAGGAAAAAGTGCAACCGAGTTCAGTGTGTAACAGAGATCTTAGCTCAAATTGACTCCCATCTTATTGACATTGGAGGGATCAGGGGTAATTGAATCATTCCTTTTTATCCATTAATCCTTGTCAATGGGGTTGAACAGGTTCCACCTGACAGCTTCAGTGTGTGCCTCTGTGTTTGTTAGTTAACACAAGCTTTATTTTGGGACCCGTAAGATATTTCTTGAATTTATCACACCTACAATAATATTAGGGTGTCCTGCAGTGTTATCTGCAGTGAATATTACACACAGACCAGAAATGAGCCATTTTAAAACAATGACTGTACCATTTCCGTGTTATTTCTTCGTTTACAAGTGATTATTGCTCCATTTGTTTATAGTAAATTGCATGCATTTTGACATTTGGATGACAAGAAAGCATTTTAACGAAATGAACCTCATTTTAATAACAAGGAACATTTTGGTATGAACAGTAATGCCGAGTATTTAAAAGAAAAGGGAGCAGGTACAGGTAACTGTAGATTTTTATTACAGCAATAGTGTATTTCTTCACACCCTCATATATTTGAATATGTATGAATGTATATATTAGCATATGATTATTGCTACTTAGGTTTTTGTTTTTTCTCCTGTAAATATTTATGTAAATCTTTACAGTGAGCATACAGGTTGTACATTTCACACGTATATAAACAAAATGTTCAGGCATCACATCGGCAATGTGTTGCCACCTCCAAATATAAGAAAACAATGGCTTTTTGAAGTCTATAAGAGAGTGGAAATGCTCAAAGAAGGGAGGGGTCTTATCTTCTCTTCAAGACATTTTTATAGAGAGAGGACTAAATACTGATCAGTCCAACAGCTCAATGTATCTGTTAGCTCAGCAGTTTATACTTTACAGGCTGTATTCACTGACTTAAATAAACTCTTACACCACCTGCAGTGCTTGTTTTGATTGGCCAGGAGGAATATAAATCAGCTGTCTGCTGATAAAACCACCGAAGATAGGCAGAAAGAGAAAAGGAGAGCTATCTGAAGCAGTTATACAACTACGTATCTGAAAGCCATTTTTACTCCTTAAGAGGGAATTATCATGGGATGGATGCAGAAAGGGAGAATGAGCTGCACCTATTTATGCCTCTCAGACTTTAATAAAGCAGCTCATTTAAAGAGATGCTAAAGTTCAGAAGGGGAGAAATTAAAATGCGATTTACTCTGTGATACCAGTGAAAGGAAAAATGGGGGTAGAAAGATGCCAATCATAAAAGAAATGGGACGGTATTCCCCAGTTTCCATGGTAACGGTGAAATTTTCTCAAATCCTCTGAGGTTTCTACCATTTTTTATGGACTCGTACTGTACCTGAGACATTCTACTCACTTACATGGTAGGAAATTGTGCACATAAAATACTCCCGCCTCTCTTAGTGTGTGTGTGTGTGTGTGTGTGTGTGTTTCACAGTCTGATGCATAATGTAGAAGTGGAGCAGTTCAACTCCACATGGGGGTCTTTAGGGTTCATTAGTTTAGGTTCCCTTCTGAGCTAAAGAGAAACACTCTCTCTCTCACACACACACACACACGTGCATTCACATCATACACATACACAAAGCACATTGACCACATCAGGGATTGCTAATTCCACATAAACCCAAATGAGAGACATTGCAATACACCCAAGAAATATTGCTTAAGGAAATTTAAACTGGCTCCAATCATAGTGAGAGATTTAAGGATTCTAATAATACAATATCCCACTGATCCCAAAGCCTCTTAACAGTTAGACTATGGGTCACATTTGCTTCATCTACAGAGCTTTGTTTTATCAGTTTATTCCACAGCACTGAGTCTGAATGAAGCCCCCTCGCTATTCGAACAAACACTGAAGACTAATGAAAGACTTTAGTGCAATCGGTCGCAATGCAGCTCGTTTGGATCAGTCACATGTTGAAATGCAAAGAAAATTGATTCCGAACCCTCTTGCATTTCTCTAATTATTCGTATGCGCCCATCAGATCAGGCCTCCAGTGGAGGAGAATGGGAAGGCAGAATGATACTTATTGAGTTTTGTGTAGGTTGGGTAATGTAGTGTTTCTGATTGCATTCTGGCTAGTGTTGGGTGGCATAGTGCTCTTGATTAAGTTCAGGGTTTATTACCACGCTTCTGCTCTTTTATTGCCCTCCCCTTCGGGGAACAGGACGGCTGTCAAATCAAAGGGCCTAATGGTTTTCGCTTGGGTTTTATCTTTCCCACCTGCCGGGGAACAGCACATGGTCTATTAAAGATGTGACACCTTAGTTATAGCATACACTACCCCTGTGTTTCATTCGGAAAGGCTCATCCCTATGCCCTTAATCCCTTCAAAGGGTTTACCCTCCGAAGTGAGAGCTTCGAATGGTTGAAGGGTGTAGGGGACCAAACAACTGTTCCTTGAAGTGCCCTTCTGCGTCATCATCACGTGCCCACACGGAGGCGCCGTCATCATGCCAAGAATTGTAGAACCGAAGTGTCCATCAGTTGTACCCTTCAAAATCCTTCATTCCGAAGGGCCCTTTGAAGTGGCCAGTTTTGAGCACTTCGGTTTGGAACGACCCTTCAATATGGCG